TCCTAACTGCAGGAGCTGTTAATGGCAGTACTTGCATACTGGACCATGCCCAGCCAAATGTGGATCATATGCCTGCCCACGTGGGAAGGAAGGGGAGAAGTAGTGGGGTGCTGCCATGCTCACTGGGTGCACACTGTCCCTCCCTCCTACTTACCTGGTGGTGGTGAAGCCCCACATCCAGAGCACATTAAATATAGATATTACAAGTGCTATTTCACATTCCTCATGCTCTTTCATACATGCCACCAGCCTCAGCTTCCTCAAGATGATTTCTGTCCATCTGCTCTGTTTTTATAGGGACATGCCATCATGTTGCCTCTGTTTGCTCCTTCTCTTTGTCCTGTTTGCTGAGGTCTATGCCTGTTCTTCATCTGAAGCTTACAAAGGAGTCCAGGTCTGAGTCACGGACTAGTCATACACTGGAACTGAGCCTCCTACATTCCCTTGGCATTTATTTTTGGAACGGGGTCTGCATGCTAGAACACTATGGCTAAATATTAAATAACCAAAAGCAAGCACAGCTGTTGTGGACAGATTCTAAAAGAAAGTATTCAGATTAAACCCAATCAGTTTTTAGTAATTCTCATTTTTAAACTAAAGGCAATTCTAAAACCAAATTCATTGAAAAGAATGAAAATTCAAACATTTAATTTAAAAGTTGCAGGCATCAGAATGGATCATTTTACACAATTAAAATACATTCACAAAATACTTCATTGTCACCAAATTTACAGGGATTTGGCCCAACATTTTGTCTGAAAAATATATATGAGCAAGCACAGTGCAGTACTGGAGTACTGGCAGCTACTCTCCTACCAGATTTCAAGTGAGTAATATATCTTGCAGTAGTTTATGTTTCTTTCAGACCTAAAACAAATAACATGAAAACAACGTAAGCTTTCATGTCTTTATGCTTTTTCTCTGGTTGATGTACCTGAAAATATCCTGAGCACCCTGAAGAGGCCCAGAACTGTTAATATGACTTTTCTTTTTACTGCTGTTGCTGTGTTAGGGAGAGGGGTTTCTCAGCAATTCATAGCACTGTCTGCTCTTGTCCTTGCTCACTCTCTCCACCCAAGACTTCAAGTTATGTTGTCCATGGCTGTGTTGCCTTAAGCAATACTGGCTCCCACATGATGCTGCTCTCGGGCCAGCAAAACACTTCTTAGAGCAGCCTCAGGCCAACCCACAGACATTCAGCTGAGGAGCTGTCAAGAGATGACTCCAGCAGGGAGAAGATACATGGAAAAAAGTTTATGAAGCACTTTAGAGACAGAAATGCGAGGAAGAAAAAAAAAAAGAAGATTCTGAATCCTTTTGAGGTAGAAGTCCTTCTCCTCACATTTGAAGCTTACTGGAAGATTTCTGTTCCCTGGCATATCTGGTTAAAAACCTAAAAATCTAAGTATGAAGTCTGAGTATATATGTAATACAAGTTCTAATAAGATTCAGGTTTATTACTTGCCTTAACTTTACCAAAATCTTTGCTAACAACAACAATAGAAAGTAATACTAAACATATTAACCTCCACTTTTTTTAGTCTTAGGCACCAATCCTGTCTCCAGTGCTGCACACTGGGATGTGCCTGGAGGACCCACTCCACTAGTCTCTAACAGACATCCTGGGAAGTCCCTGAACAGGAATAGTTGAAAAACATTAGCATTAGAAGCAAGGGATCTAATAACTTCATCTTTCTAAACAGATACTGATAGCAGATTTAAATTTAGCATATGTACAGAAGCCTTTTGCATTTTTTGAAGCCAAAACAGAATCAAAAAATACTTCTGTGTCCTCAGGACAATAAAAAATAAGTGAACGAACAGTATGAGAGGCAAACAGAAATGGTAACTTGTAGATTACTTGCCTAGTTAGTAATTTTCAACAGTTGTAACAAAGGTGATAATCCAAGAAAGAAAATCCTTCAAAATTCATCTGTTTAAACTCAAGGGGGGGGGGGCGTTGGTTTGTGGGTTGGTTTTGTTGTTGCCAGGTGGGTTTTTTTGTGGAAACTTGAACTAAGATGCAGAAGCAATGTAAATCTATTGCAAGTGAAAAATAAGACAGCTTTCTTATAGCCTCTCCTGGGCACTAACCCTTCAGATGTCCTAAGATTTAGACTCTCAAAGATTTCATTTCCTGTTTCCCAGTCTCACAAGGTGAGACAAATGGACTCAAATACCTCTTAGAAATCAAACAACTTCTGAAGCAGAGATGCAAAAGTGAAGCAAAATGTACTTTTGCTTCAGGGTTTTTCTCTACCCTAGGTTTTTTTTTTTTTTTTCATTGTGGTCCCTCATTTCCCCACCCAGACAAAATGCAACCATGACAACATGGAAATCCCCTGAGCAGTACAACTCTGATAATAAGATTGTTCATGTTCAAGAAAAATATTATGTCTGAAAAGACTTTTTCTTTTACTTTGCTCCAACTGAAACAGGAAAAAAGAAAAAAAAAAAGATCAAAGTGATAGCCCACTCAATTATAAACAAGACGAGTTTAATGTGAGAAGGTGTCATTTCTGGATAGTGGTAAATTTGCACAGGAGAGCCTTCCTTTAATGACATTTTGGCTGAAAATGAGGTAGAAATTAGCCTCAGGGTTTCTAGAATAATATCGTATTGAAGAGTATTAAGAAAGGTGTTGAAATTCTTAACTAAACTTCTCTAAAGCAAGCAAGCCTTAGTGATGTGAAGTCACTGGGGCCCAATCTCATTAATTCAAGTTTAGCTGCAATCAGCTTCGATCAATCACAGAAAACTGGGGAGAGAGAGATGAGGACAAACTCCCGCTAAATTTCTGCCAGCTGACTCAGAAAGAGGGTGTTTCTTGGAGGGATATCATGAGAATTTGGCAGTGACCCAAATAATTCTGTAAGTGAAGTCAGTCTCTTGACTGAGGGTGAGTCAGGCCACAGTGGTGGCTCCCACTCTGTGGCCCCCACACCATGTCCAGCTCCTGCTCTGCTCTGTGTGGGTGGTCACTGTGGCCTGGCAGGTCCCTCTCCTGTTTGTAGGTGAGAGGTATCATAGAGGTCTGCCAAGCAGATATCTACCCCTACCACCCTGCAGGCTCTTCTTAAATCCAGTGGAGAGAAATGAATGTGTTTGGAGGTTTCAATTTCATCTTTTAAATATCTATTTTAGCATGAGTTGAATCATGCTCTTCACTGGCCAGACAGAGACACAGTATGAAGAGTTCTAACATATCAGGACACTGTAAATGCCTGTACACTGGCCATTGAACCCAAACCCACTCTTCTGTGTCTACCTAGGCTTAGTGCACCTTCAGGGAACACTTCAGTGGGGAGCCCCAGGGTCCTACTACAAGGAGGGGCTTGATACAGATACTGGAGATGTCCATCTTCCAGGCAGCCTCCTTGAAATCTTGCGGAAAGGGGGCCAATTCTTCCCATTAGAAAAGGGCAGGGAAGCCTAGAAGCAACACCTTGACAACCCACTGCCCCCAGCTTCGGGCAGCAAGTGACATTGCAGTCCCTGATGTTCTGGCAAGGCCAATTTTGTAGACTTTCATCACTTTGCATTTAAAATTATTTCCATGCAAATGAGAAAGCTGATGTGGCTTCCATATTGAACCTCCTCATTGTAATGTCATCACTTTTCTGTTTGCTTGGGCACTGTTACCAACTTTGCCCTCAGTTTCCTTTACGCCTCCAACCTAAAGCTTTTTTTGGTGCAGCCAGGCCTGTGCCAGAGCTTGCTCTTCTCTTTCAGTTCTTCAGCTCACTTGTAGTTAGCCACATCAGTCAGCTGTGTTCACGGCCCTACTTTATGCTCTGGTGTGCGTTGGTGTTTACAGCCACAGAAAGTGTGCAAAGGAAATATTTAACACCTCTTTATCTTTTACTTTCTGCTTTTGCTTTGTCCAAAGCCTGAACAAATGCGAGATGTGCCACTTTGTTCTCAGGAGCCAGGGTTTGCAGGATTGGTCTTTTAAATCACAGCTTTTCTGGGTCAGCGCTGCCTTATGCGGAACTTCGTAGAATCACAGAAGGTTTCAGGTTGAAAGGGACCTTTGAAGATTATCTAGCTTCAACTCAACTGCCATGGGCAGGGACACCTTCCACTAGACCATGTTACTCAATGCCCCATCCAACCTGACCTTGAACACTTCCAGGGATGAGGCATCCACTGCTTCTCTGGGCAACCTGTGCCAGAACCTCATAATCCTCACAGTAAAGAATTTCTTCTCTATATCCAATCTAAATCTACCCTCTTTTAGTTTAAAACTGTTGCACCTTGTCCTTTCACTAGAGGCCTTGGTGAATAATTTCTCTCCATCGTTCTTGTAAACATCCTTTACATACTGAAAGGCCACGATAAAGTCTCCCTGGAGAGTTCTCCTTCTCCAAGCTTCATGTTGCTTCATTGCAACATTCCCAACTCTCTCAGCCAGTCTGCGCAGGAGAGCCCTCTCATCATCTTAATGGCCCTCCTCTGGACTTGCTTCAACATGTCTATATCTTTCTTACGTTGGGGACCACAGGGCTGAATGCAGTACTCCAGGTAGGGTCTCAAAGAGTGAAGAATCAGCTCCATTGACCTGCTGGCAGTGCTGCTTTTGATCAATAGTTAAAGAATAAACAAAAGCAATCACACTTAATGTTTCATACTTGGAAGATTTTTCTCCCTCGGACCTGTGCACCTCTGTGGGAAAAAAAGTGGATGCAAGGGCTAAACCATGCACTCGGGGAAACCAGCAGCACAAATCACAGTAGCTGAGTCAGGAGCACTGTCTGTGAAACGTGCTCCCTTCTCGCTGGACCCTACCAGGTTTGCCCAAACAGGTTGACCGGCCTGATCCAGAGGGTCCTTAGTTTTGAAGTGGGGAAGCCAGTTTCAAAGTAAAAGCTCAGCCATTATCTTCAGGCTGCTTCCTGCCTTCTGCCACCAGCCATCCTCTGCGTAGGCATGTTTACATTTCCCCTCGCCTGAGGTCTCTCTGTCAGGCGATGGGTTCGCTCAGCGCCGGGTATAAAGGCAGCGGGTGCAGGTTTCACATACACACACACGCACTGCACACATGCAGCATGCTCAGAATGACACAGCCCAGTACAGTACTGAGCATTTTTGCCATGTTTCTTCACACCGCTTTTGGGGAAAGTGGTTGCACCTCAGCAGACGGTGATGGTGAGTCATTTCATCTTCATCTTTCCACTCCTGTGTGATCTTGAAAAACCTCAGTTATGAGCTTCAAAATGCAACTGCTGGGTTAAATACGTTCATGTTTTAACTTCCAGTCTCTCTTTCAGTGCTAGAATCTGAGATGGAGGTGGAGCTGGAGGTTACCTATTTAATTTTATCCCCAAATCTGCTGTCCTTATAAATCCATATGAAATCAGGGAGATCATAACTGTAGGCACAGGCCACGCAGGGTCGGACCCATTAATCCTTTCTCATTGTATCTAGTGTTCATGTGAGGACATATGCCTGGGAGCAGGGAACCACTTCACCCTTCTGCAGCCCATGGTCACCCTGAGCTGCCATTGGAGAGGGGTGAGATTCTGGCTTTCACTCTTGGCAGTTTCCTCCAAATAAAATGTTTCAATGTCACTCAGAATTGACCAAAACTGTTCCACGTTAAAAGCCCAACCTTTATATTTTCTTTAAGCCTTTGCATCAGGTGTGTATCTGAGGGATGGTTCCAGCCTCCCTCATAGTACGGCTGACGCAGAAACTCAACCAGGGGCTTCTCATGGCCCATCACTAACAGCCTTCATTCCTTAGTCAACAAATAATTATAAATTACTGTAGATTTCATGATCTCATTTAGAAATACAGAACTCTAAAAAGCAGTGATAAAATCACTTTTTCAGGCTGCTGTTTGTTTTCTCCAAACGGAGATGAAAAACATGATTTAGAGATTCAGTCCCAGATCTGCTAAACTCTTATTTGTCTGATACTAAACAAACAGTAGTAACAGAGTTTGTGCACTATGCCTGAAAGACATGGACATTTGCTAAGTTACTGGTAGTTTAGAATTCCTTCATTTGGGGACAAAAGAGCTTTTGGATTTTAGAAAGAGAATGGCTTGTACCTATGCTATCTCACAGTTAGAGAATCTCATTTTTCCCTGGGTATCCTGTACTGCACATGTAACATATAAGTGTGTAGACAATTGTACATATATAACAGTTCATATATACATGGATAATATATGCCTGACAGGTTTTTTAATTAAAAGAAATCAGGGTCTGGCTCAGAACTGCATCTAACCACCTTGGGTTTTTTATTTGCCTTTTATTCATACAATATGCAGCTGCTTAGAGCCAGCTTTTGCAAGCAGCTGTGGTAATGAATGTTCAGTGCTAGTGATTTATTGTTGGTGTCACTGAAATTGTCAGGGCTTCCCAAAAGCAGATATGATTAGACCTTTACATGTTTTATCACTATCTCCAGTAAATCATAATTTACTTAGAATTAAAGCCAAATAGATTCAGAGATTCAGAAAATCCTTACTGAGCAATTACCAGCTTTTATGATTTCTAGATGAATCTCCTAGGTTTGGTCAACAAATTAATCAATACCGGGTAAAATCACCCATGACAGATGCTTGATTTTCACTCTTTGCCTTTCTGACTCACCCTGCCTCCTGACAAAGTGCTGCCCTCCGACTTGGGTACAAGCTCACCCTTATGGGCACCCTTATGGGCAGAGGAAGGAAAAGCTAATAATGGCAGCTCTTGCCTTCTTCTCCTCCTCTTTTCTGAGCCTCCCAAGCACTGTCCCCCAGCCTAGCAGAAGCAGTGGAGACCCCTCAAAAAGGCCTGAGAGAGCTACAAGCAGAGCTAAGAAAGGGAAGCCAGGGAGGGGCAGGAGGGTACGGGCAGGGGGAGTGGGAGGCAGCAGGCTTGTGGTCTGTGGGGTCCCATGGCTTCAGTGGTCCTGCCACCCACACTGGTATGGTTTGTCCAACCCACATCATAACTCTTGCGATGAAAATGAGTTCTGCCTGAATCACATCAGCAATAAAGATCTGACATTATTCTGTCCATGGAGTAAGTCACTTCATTGACTTTGTATATTTGGCCACTGACTCTTCAGTGTTGAGCATTGACTTTGGTTTCACACACTGTTGTCAGTCCTGGCGGCTTTAGAGCTTGAAGCTGAAGCATGTCCATAGCCTCTGCTAACACTCTTCTCTTGGTAAACGCTCCTGAGATCCCTGCTGTGGTTTGAACCATCCTGTTGGATGTTGTCCAAACCCATTTCTGTGAAGGACCTGTCATGGCTGTAGCTATGAGAGCAGCTTTTATCCCACTACAGTAATTCCCTTCCAAGCCCTGCCTTGATTTCAGCAGAGTTGGGCTTTTGGCTCTGCCTCATCTGGGCTTCTGAAGGCAAATACTGTAATCTTGCATTTTTTTAATTGAGTGAAGAGTCCTTAGCAGAATGAGTCATGTCAGAGTCATCAAAACCATTCACAGAGCAAACACATTTGTGCATTGTGGTTCTGAGGTTTAGGGAAGAATTATAACTGAAGCTGCATGCAAATTTATGTCAGACAAAAAAATTAGTCAGCCCATGGAAAAACCATAGCAGAAAATGCATTTCAAATTGCTCACATCACACTATTGATGAGATTTAATTATCATATACTCTATGGTTAGTATGTTATTTTTGTGAATAAGGAACCATGTAATCACAATGTAAAAGTTCAGTGTCAAAGAGATAAAGTCAGCTTTCCTTCCAGTGGGGCACCAAAGTTGTGCTGTGTTGGTTAAACCTTCAAGGTTGTTTGAACTGCAGGACTAAACCTTTATTTTCATCTTGGAACCAGCCTGATAGAGAATGAATTCAGATTTCTGTAACTTTTCATCAAAGGAGGAGTAGGCAACTGAAAGATTTTTTTTTTTATGATAAGCCATTTGTTAATAGGATGATGAATTAATTTAGTAATAGTATGATTAGCTGTTTTGTGTGTTCATGCAAAATCTGATTTATCTAGCTTACATGTACAGAGAGCACCAAGCAGTCATACAGAAAGTAAGATTAGCCATCCTAATCTATAAGTTTTAATATTGCCTTAAGTATAAATAAGCAAACCTGTTGGCAGTTGCAAGTAAAATCTTAGGCTTAAAATGTGACATATCTGTCCATGTCAGATTTGGGTGTATATATCTATTTGAAATATAGGGGTTTATCCATCTTACACAGATTTATTTGACTTTACTGGTTATCTCACAAGTTTTGAATATACATACATTTATATGCCCACACTTCTTCCCACGAATATGCCACTGCATGTGGTACATGTTTCTGTACATGTATGCCTGCCTGTGGGGCTGCATTGGACAAGACTCTTACCTGTGTGAAACTGCTGCGGGGCTTATTCTAGAGTTGTGCTGACCTCTGTGTTTCTCCCTTGAATACAACAGTCAAATACTGAAGCTTTTTGTGTTGCACAGGTTCACCCTCCAAAGCAGCAACACTGGTACAAGGCACTGCATCCCTTGTCCTTCAGGGAGATTCGGGGTCCCAGAGCTGCAGTGAGAAGACCAGTAATAATTTCTCAGTGCTGGTTGCTCATAGTGATGAATGGCACTAAATCTTAGCTCACAGGGTATAGAGCTGCCTGTGGATTCTGCATTAGTGCAGCAGCAGATGCTCCCATCCCTTCTGCTGCCCACTGTGGGTGCTGATGGCAGCAGTCCCCTTCCTAGCCTCTGCCTGCATTGTTTTAGTGTGTTTCTCTGCATTCCTGAGTGACTTTTGAATTTCTTCTCTTGCTCAAAACCCAGTTCCAGCTGCAGTTCAGCTCTGAGGTCAGAAAAAAGCACTGCTGATGCCCTTGACTTACATTTTAAAGCAATCAAAAAAACTCTCATCTGCTTTCTCACTGCTGTCAAACCATATGGATTTTGGATCTTCAGATATGCCTCCATGCTGAACAAGGTCTGGGTCTCCCTGCACGCTCCCAGGATTGTCCAGGGTTCATAGGACATCATAATTTGGACTATGAATCACAATATCTAAAGAGGTGGTCACACCTCAGTGATCCAATTTAATTACAGCACAATTGACCACGATTTTTTCTGGGAGGGGTTTTCCGTTGAAAATGTTTCAGTGTTTCAGTATTTCCCCATTGTGTTTGTGAGTGTGAGTCACTGGTATCCCCAGAGCAGACAGTGATAGGACAAGGGGGAAGGGTTTAAACTAGAAGTGAAGATATTTAGATTAGATGTTAGGAAGAAATCCTTTACTCAGAGGGCAGTGAGACACTGGAACAAGCTGCTCAAGGTAGTTGTGGATGCCCCACATCTGGAAGTGTTCAAGGCCAGTTTGGAGCAACCTGGTCTAGTGGGTGGCATCTCTGACAATGGCAGCGGGGTTGGAATGAAATGATCTTTAAGGTCCCTTCCAACCCATCCATTCTATGACTTGATTCTTTTCTCACTGCATCAGGTGCCCCATGTGGCAAGGACATACATGAGGAATGGGTGGCAGAAGACTGAGCAGGAGATCAGGGATAGTCCCTGGACACAAGGAAGAGGTTTATGTGAATGAAGACAGAGGCACTCCTGCCCCAAAGGATCCACTCAAGGGATCATGGCAATAACCCTTTCCCCATCCGCTCTGCTATGGTGGATGAGATTTCATGAAGTGAGACTGAAATTGCAGTTTCTGCTGGAGAGGACTCCTCTCAGAAGCATCAGTTTTTGCATCATTGACCTTATACCTACCAAGTGTAGGACTTACTCTCTTAGTCAAATCATGATTGTGTTATTACTCATTGAAGCAAATTTGCAGGAAACCACGCATTCTGGCAGCAAGTCTGAGCTTTCCCTCTTGAAGCCAAATTTGTGACATTTCAGAAAACTTTTCTGTACAATCAAAATGGGGCTTAGTTGCCTCATGACACCAAAATACTCTTACAAGTGGGTGGGCTTCACTGTCATGAAGGGAGAGCAACCTTGGAAGGCGCAAACAGATTTAACTTCGTTTTAAACAAGGTTTCTTTTCTTCTTACTAAACAGATAGGTTGATCCTTTTCCTTTTAGGCGACCACATAAAGCAGCAACCTCCTATACAATGCAGCTGCAAATCAAATATCCTCTCAGGTTTGCTTCAGTAACATCATGTGAATCTCTCCTTAGGGACTCTTGGAGACGATGAACCAGACAATTTTGACATTGATTGCTTCAGCCAGCTGGACGTTAAGGACCCCTTTAGCAGCCTGACCTGCAATTTTACTGAGATGCCTCCTCACAACACTAACTATACCCTGTCTCTGTGGTAAGTGCTGTCGGTCTGTCCTTTGGTAAACTTCTGGGAAGTGAAATGACGAGCACTAGTGAGTCATGTTGCCACATGCTGGGAAACTGGGACAGCAGAGCTAGGCAAAATTCTTATTGAGACTGTTTTGCTAAGTATGAATACTAAATTCACCAAGGAAGAGAAGTTTACTGAAACAGAACATAACTCCCATATCAAAAAAAAAAAAAAAAAAAAAAAAAAAAAAAAAAAAAAAAAAAAA